TATTGCGTGTGTATTTTTTTTTTTTTTTAAGTCGACAGAATTCTCACATAATAATAAAATGTAAGTACATAATATAGTCCATCTGATGGACCGTTTCGCGAAATGCCATGAGATAACGTAGATCACACATGCGACCACATAGTGATGTCTCGTATCACGCGAAATACGAGACTGCTAATGGATGTTAACGTTCCTTTCGAAATTACCTGTCGCCTAATGTACTCGCTACCATATACTAATGGATACTGATACTTGTATCTAATCGTTTCTATCTTAAGATAGACAAAGAAAGAGACAAGTTGACGTATTTAATTTTCAATATAATAAGATATATATATATATATACATTAAGTGAGATATATTTTTGATCCTTTAATCAATTACTAATTGAAAAATTAAATGAACTTTTTAATCTTCACTTAATTTGCAAAAGCGTGAATTTCATTTTTCACAAAATCTAACTTGCAAATTAATTGCTTCAAATGAATTTGATCGACGAAAGGACGAGAAAAAAAAAAAAAGAAACAAAATTTTAAGGAAAAACGACATTTACATGTACCTGCACCTATAGATGGAAAATAATTGAAATTTTTTTTTTTTTAGGACTATTTAAAATTAGAATGAAACGAGCAAAAGGTAAGGAAGAAAAAAAACAAACAAAAAAAAAAGAAGGAAAAGAATTTTAAATGTAGTATAAGGTGAAAAAACGAAAGATAAAAAATTCACAGCTAGGGTAAACTAGTTTACGAGTGAAACGTGTGGAGCACGGAATTGATTAGACGAAGTAGAGGCGTTAGCGAAGGAGGTAACAAAGTGGATTAATAAAAGCTAAAGCCGCTATTAGAATTCCTCTGACGTAAGTAGAAACACGAATACGGAATGGGGATAGCACGTCGACGACGTAAAACTTGCTTCGCCGTCGTATAGCACAAAAATCGTTTTCAAACTTTACGATCGGTAACATTTCGAGCTTTAAAGCTTCTTTCCTCTTCTTCTTCTTACTCTTCTTCTTATTCTTCTTATTCTCCGTCGTCTTCTTGTCTTTTTTTCTTTTCTTTCCTTTTTTATTTTTTCTTTTCTTTTCTTTCTTTTTTCTTTTCTTTTCTTTTCTTTTCTTTTCTTTATTAAAATTGATCATTAAAAGTTCTTTCTTTCGACTTATATATCGGTCACATTTTTACTTAGATTATTGTGACGCAATTATTTATTTAATTTTCTTATTCTTCTTCGTCAAACATGTATACGATGAATATCGATCCAAGTATGATGAATATTGTTTTTCTTTTTCCTTTTTTTTCTTTTTTTTTTTTTTCTTGAAGATCGAGCAAAAGGATAAAATTCTTATGAAATATCTCGAACAAGTTATTAGATTAAAAAAAGCTCGATCTAATATTTAATATATCTCAATGATGGACTGGAGAACGTATTGATATTTAAAGATTTTTCTTCTTCTTCTTCTTTTTCTTTTACGATATAAAATTATTTTTTTCATTGATACTTTCGAACCCAATTACAACACTACGATTATTGTCAAGCATACTTGCGATTGTAACAGAATATATATATATATATATATATATATATATATATATATATGTATATATTAGGGAGGCCGGAAAGTAATGTCGCTTTCTTAAATTAAATTCAAACGAATAAATTTTTAACAAGTTTTTATTTTTAATCACAATCAAATATCGATATGAGCAGAAACGACATTACTTTCCGGTCCCCCTAATATATATATATATATATTTATTTTTTTTTTCCTAAGAGAATAAGAAAAGGATATGAAAAATTCCAGGATAGAAAAGAAATTCTATGAAATATCGAGCATGTTATAGATTTGAAAGAAAAAAGGAAAAAGAAAAAAAAAAAAAAGAAAAAAAGGAAAAAAAAGAAAAGGAAAAGAAAAGAAGAGATATATATAAAAAAAAAAAAAAAAAAAAAAAAGAAAAGAAAAAAAGCTCATCTCGATCGTATATCCCTCCGAAAGGGGTATACGATAGGTTGAAGGAGAAGGAGAAAGGAGGACTTTCATAAATAATCGATGACAAGCTCGAATCATATTTTACGTGTTGAGAATAGAGATTGTACGCTGACGATGAACAACCGAGTTTCACGATGAAAAAGAAGGAAACTAGAAGGACGAGGTAGAGATAGATAGAGATAGAGAGACAGAGACAGAGACAGAGAGTGAGAGAGAGAGAGAGACAAAGAGAGAGAGAGAGAGAGAAAGAGAAAGAGAGAAAGAGAATGGTTAGGTATCAAGATCATATTGCTCCTCAAGACTTCTCTCTCCGTGTCACGTTCTATCTGGCAAGACTCCAGAGCTTCGAAGAATACGGTAAGAGAATCGAGCGAAGGAGTCAGCAGGAAATGAAACGGTGCCGTTGCCTTCTCGTAAAGACGTAAAGAAGAATGGCGGCTGAAACGTGGTGTGCCTTTTTGATATTGACTTTAAGTAAAACAAAACTAATACGAACGACATCAATTTTTCGATCACCTCTGTCTACCCCCTCCCCCTTCCACCCTCCCTCTTTCTCTCTCTCTCTCTCTCTCTCTCTCTCTCTTTCTCTCTCTCTCTCTCTCTCTCTCTCTCTCTGTCTCTCTCTTTGTCCGTTTATTTGTCTGTCTTTGTGATACATTCTCTTTGTGTCAACAATTATCCTCATTATTTTCTATTATTTCGAAAATTTTTATCTGAAGATTCAAACAATCAAATCTATAATATTTTAACTTAATACGCGTCGGTACGTAATAAAAAAAAAAAAAAAAAAAAAAAAAATTTATATATATAAAAAAAAATATATATATATAAAAAAAAAATATATATATATATAAAAAAAAAAAAAGAAAAGAACTACTTCAAATCAATGTGGAAAATCTTTTATGGATTTTTATTTTTTTTTTTATTTTTTTTTTTTTTTCCCAGTTGAAACGATGGTACACACGTGTACATGCGACGAGACAAAAATATTTTTACGTTTTTTAATTTTTACGTTTAATACAAGTGAAAGAAATCGAATGAAAGAAAAGAATTAGTTTAAAAAGTTTATCGAGAAAAATGACGTAATTGATTTTGTAAAAAGTCTTTCGACATTGATCCTGAACTTTTCGTTCGCATGGTATTTCCAAAAATAACATTAACGTAAGCGTAATTTTTTAAATGATACGACAAAGGATGTATCATAATTTTTTTTTGTCTTTTTTTTTGTTTTTTTATATGAAAAAATCCTATAGATATGTACGATTACGAAATAAACAGTTTTATATATATATATATATATATATAGGGGGTTTTTAAAAACAGTTAAATCTAAATAATAGATAATGGTTACATTTATAATACTTTTTTGTTTATGATAAAAAGTAAAAGAATTATTTGATCTTCACAACTGAGAACTATTAAAAATATATAATGTTTTATTATTATTTTTTAATAGGTAAAGATATTATTATTGAAACACTTTGTATATATATACATATCTATATATATACAATATATAGGTATACAATATATAGGTGTATAAAGAACGAAGATAGAAAGAGAAACGAGGCAAAGGATGAAGGCAAGTGGAAGTACAATTCTTCTTGCATTTCCTTGAGGAGTAGTCAGCCCACTTTTTACCGTTAAAGGTACAAAGCGGAAGATGAGAGAGCGCATATCCGTTGGGTTCCCACCTGATGCAACTTAAGAGAGAGAGAGAGAGAGAGAGAGACCGCAAGCCTTCTTTTCGAGCCTTCGAAAGGGTTGACGAACAACGAAAGACGATCGTTACGTCCTGACCACACACGTATACATTCTCATTTTTCCTTCCTTTATTTCTTTTTTTTTTCCTTTTTCTTTTTTCATTCCTTTCCTTTTGCACTGTCTTCCTGTCTTTTCTCCTTTCTTTTTCTCTAATGCAGAGCTCTTGCTTTTCTTGAAAGCCAAAGAAAAAGAAAAAGAAAAAGAAAAAAGAAGAATTGGATTTCTCGCAAGCTTGATAAAGCTTTTTAGACGAATCATTTTATTTATCTGATCTTTCCATTTTCTTGTTCTTTTTTCTTTCTTTCTTTTTCTTTTTCTTTTTCTTTTTTCTTTTTTCTTTTCGTTTCAAATTTTCGAAATTCACACGTATAATCATTATTATTATTATTATTATTATTATATTATTATTATTATTATTATTATTATTATTATTATTATTATTATTATTATTATGTTTATCTGGAATAGTAAATATATATAAATTTTAAATATTATTATTTATTGTTATAAATAAATTCAATATTTAAATAGTTATATCGACATGACGTATAATCGATCTATTAATCAATTTCAAATCAATATATAATTCGTTAAATTGAAGTAACATAAAAATCTAATAAATTTCATTTTCTATATTATCTATTTTTAACCACAGATGTCATTTATTTGAAGATATCACTATATCTGCCCATAGAGATAGAATTTTTATCGTCGTAAAGTTTCACACTTTTATCGTAAGCTCGTTCATATCAACGTCCGCTAGTACATACTACTACCATTACTACTATTGCTGCGAAGAAAACGTTAAGCGTTAGATGTGACAAAAGAAGAAGAAGAAAAAGAAGAAGAAGCAGAAGAAGAAAAAGAAGAAAAGAGAACGGACTACGAAGAAAGAGAGAGAGAGAGAGAGACAGAGACAGAGAATTAGATGAAAAGGAGAGAGAAAAGGTAGAGGGTAAAGGAAAGAGAAAAGACGTAAGAAGACTCAGGGCTAACTCGATTTACCCCCATGGACTCCACTTCCCGTTATTACCGTCTCAAAGCGATCTTATCGAGAAGAGTGTAGGGGTGGAGGAGAAGGTGGAGTCGAGGAACGGAGAAAAGGAGGAAAAAAAAATTAAAAAGGAAAAAGAAAAAAAAAAAAAGAAAGGGAAAAAGAAAAAATAAGGATAGTAAAGGACGATGCGCTAGCTCTCTCTTTCTCTCTCTTTCTCTCTCTCTCTTTCTCTTTCTTTCTTTTTCTCTCCCTCATTCTATCTCCTATCTTTCCTTAGTGCTTTCCTTTTATCGAGCAAAGTGGGTTTCGGTGGGTGGTAACGATGGGTAAAGTCAGTACTTCGCACGATGCCTTGTAACGGGTCGAGGCTCACTTACGCGAGCCTTACTTACACCTTCCGCTCGTTAAACGGCCCCGTGCGTGTCCCGTATAAGCTGTAAAATTACGTTTACGTGGGTAGTTAAGTTCCAGCTCGTTCGAAATCTACTAAAAAGAGAGAAGCTGTGTATACATATACATATGTATATATATATATATATGTACCTACGTTGAAAGTATAAAAAAGTAACCAAACGAGAAAGAACGTTCTTTTTAATTCTTAAATCTTTCTATATTATTAATCATTTTCTCTAACGAGTATTTCAAAATCTATCGAAATACTATATATATAAAATAAATAAAATATTGAAAGAAGTATATAAGGATTTTACAATTTTATATTGTCTTCCCATTTTATTATTTATATAATCTCGACGAAATTGCTTGAGCATATGGATTTTTGTAAATCTATATCTGTATTCTGAAAGAGTATCTAAAAAAAAAAAAAAAAAAAAAAAAAAAAGAAGAAGTAAATACCTACGGGGGACGAGTTATGGTGACGTTTTAAAGTGTTTTTATAGGCAACTATACAAATTTATTTTACTGAAACGTTAATTTAATGTCGCCCGCTCCTCCCTCCCTCCCTCCCTCTCTCCCTCCCCCCATTCTACCCCCGTCCTTCAGGTTAGATGGATATATAACTTTTTTATATGCACAATAAAAATGATCGGCATGCATTCGAGACTGAAAAGAGTATCACGTAAATATATAATTTATGTCTTTTTAATTTTATTTCCAACGACGCAACGTGACCAGGATTATTATCCTTAATCGGGAAGGATATAAAAATTGAAAGAAGAAAAACAGCAAGAAAAAAAAAAAAGAAAACAAAAAGAAGAAGAAGAAGAAGAAGAAGAAGAATAAAAGGAAAGAAATAATAAGGAAAAAAAGTGAATTAGAAAAATCATCCTGACTCGTTTCTTTTTCCAATATAACAAGTAAATATCCTCGCGTGTGCGCCCGATGACGTTGTCTGGATAAAATCGTTGTTTATCTAAAACAACGTGAGAGGAAAAGGTGCGAAAAGAAATGTAAGGGGGGAGGGGGAGTGGGTACCGAGAATGGAGGACGTGGGAGAAGACTTTTTCGAGACGAGTACATAGTGGCGCGGATAGAAAGAGAAGAAAATCAACAAAAGGGAGTTAAATCCTTCTTCGTAGAAACTTTCAATGATCGAACTTCTACTAGAACTTCGACGCGTGTTTCCAATATATAGACACACAAATGGAAACCCTCCTTTAGCCTGTTTCTTCTCCTTCCATCTCTTTCTCTCTCTTTCTCTCTCTCTCTCTCTTTCTCTCTCTATGTGTGTATGTGTATGTGTGTGTTTGTGTGTATATCTCTCACTTTCTGTAGATAGTAAGAGTAGAAGGAGGAGATGGAGGTGAAGATGGAGGAGGAGAAGACAATGACGACGACGACGACGAAGAAGAAGAAGAAGAAGAAGAAGAAGAAAAGAAAAAGAATAAGTGAGAAAAATATCAAATAATTTTTTTTCCATCTCAATGGTCTTCAATCTCCTTTCGTCATCCAATAATAATAAGGATGACGCGTCAACAGTTGCGACAAAACACACACACACCACACACACACACACACATATATATATACACACAGATGAAATAAATAATAGGAAAGATAAATTTATCGACAGATTCTTCTGTTTTTCCTTTTTTTTTCTCCTTTTCCTTTTCTCTTTTATATTCCCTTCCCCTTCCCCCCCTTTCTTTTTTTGCTTTATTTCTTTCCTTTTCTTTCTTTCTTTCCTTTTCAGCTCTCGATTCGAGAAGTAAGATGCTAATGAGAGAATTACATGAATTACTGGAATAAAGAGACGTAACGAATGAAAAAGAAACAAAAATAAAGAAGAAAAAAAGAAAAGAAAAGAAAAGAAAAGAAAAGAAAAAAATGAAAAAAGAAAAACGGAGAAATATCTAAGGTAGGAGAGAAAAGGAGAGAAGAAAATAAGATAGATAGATAGATGGAAAAAAGAGAAAAAAAAATAGATAGAAGGAAAGCTTAAAGCTCTTCTCTCTTTCTCTCGTGGGTAAGTTTCTCAATGGCGGAAGTTCGGCTTAACTCGAAGACTACCTTGTGTATTCCTCCGCTTTTCTCGTTTCTCTAAAACGGAAGGAGACTTTTATTTTTCACTCTCTCCCTCTCTCTCTCTCTCTCTCTCTTTTCTCTCTTCTTTCTAGCTTCTATATAACGTAGTATCAACCCTCAGCCCTCAGCCCTCAACCCTCAACCTTCTCTCCTTTTCTCTTGCTCCATCGAACGAGAAGAAAGCACATCCCCCGTAGTTGTCCAAAGACACGAATTTATTAGATCGGACGGTCACTGACCTCTCTCTCTCTCTCTCTCTCTCTCTCTCTCTCTCTCTCTCTCTTTCTCTCTGACTTTCGGTCTCCCTCTTGGCTGGTGGTCCATTGTCTTCTTTTGGAATCCTTTCGATCTACCCTCCTTTCTTACTTTTTCCACCAACCCTTGAGAAAGACCTTGAGAATCGTCTCGATTTCTTCTTCAACGAAAATTGCTATGGCCAATATAGATTGAGGGAATAAGAAAGACGTTTTCACCCGTCTTACTCTAGATTTCATCATCTAATCGAATCAATTTCTAAATCTCAGCGAATAAAAGTTACTTCCAGTAACATCAATATATATATATATATATATATATACATATATATATATATAGATTTTTTTTTCTTTTTTTTGTTTTGTAATTTTTTTAACAATCATAAAATATATAACGTTCAAGTCGAATGATTCATTATACCCCTGCTCTCCATCCTCAGTTCAACGCCGCGTTCAAACGATTCAATCCAAAACGATTTTTCCTATTTCAAGCAATGCCGGAAAAGCTACAGCAGCAACGTGTACCAAACGAGAGTCCAGCAAGTTTTCATTTTGCACTGGCGTACTGCCAATTTGAATGGCAAAACTGCGACCGACCCAACGGGATTGAGTTTTCCCTTTTCTCGGCTATATGCACCGGCTTTTCTCGCTCCTGCTACTCCTTTTTTCCATCTCTTTCTCTCTCTCTTCTCTCTCTCTCTCTCTCTCTCTCTCTCGCTTTCTCTCCAGACCTTTTTCTTCTTTTCTTTCTCTCCATTTTTCTCTCTTCAAAACCATCGATTTCGGACGACCGTCGTCTATGGATCTCGTCTACTAATACTACCACTACTACCACTACTACTACCACTACTATTACTACTACTACTACTATAACTACCACAACCACCATCCGATTTTACAATCTTATTCAAAAGAATATTCTATGGAAAAGTATATTACCTATTCCTTCTATAGAAAAAAAAAAAAAAAAAATAAGCACAAATATCCAATCGTAATATTGTATTTTCATACCTAAATGTTATTATTAATTCAACGTTAAAAATATAGGTATATTGTGTGTAGATGTATATATATATATATATATATATATATATATATATATATATATACACATATATGCAATATTTATAGGCATGTCTATAAATATACAATTTTCTTTTCAATATACAAAATATATACAACACTTTTTGAATTTATTTATTTATGGTAAAAAAGAGAGAAAGAGAGAGAGTATGAGATATTATTACACTTTCTTCTACCATACAGCAACGTAAATATTATTATTGATTCTACGTTCAAATAATAACACACGTACGCTAAGATGCATTTTTTTTTCTTTTTTCTTTTATATTTTTTTTTGTCGGTCAAATTGATACGCGATCAAAAAGAAAGTCAATCATGACGCGTTATGATTACAATGATCAGAAGAAAACAAACAAACAAACAAACAAACAAACAAACAAACAAATAAACGAACGAACGAACAAATAAACATGTCGCGATTAAATAACGAGACAATGTCCTTTCAATGTATTTTCTCATTAGTCTTTCTATTTTCTTTTTTTCTTTTTTTTTTTTTTTTGGAGTCATCTCAATTCACACATAAAAGGAGAGAAGAGAAAACGTTTACCGTTCAACTAGAAGCGTTCTCATCTCGTCTAATTTACGCTTAGATGGGGGACGTTCTAATTTGGTCAGGTAGACTTTACTATGTCTCTACCTCTTCCTGTCCTTCCTCTCTCCTTCTCCTTCTCCTCTCCCCTCTCTATCCCACCCTTTCTACTTCTCCTTGTCTCTTTAATAGGAACTTCGCCTCTAATTTGCCACCCACGAACGGAAGTACCCTAGCCCGTAGTATCCTCCTCCTCCTCCTCCCCTCCCCCTCCTCCTCCTCCCCCTCCCCCTCCTCCTTCACCTCCTCCTCCCCCTCCTTCTTCACCTCCTCCTTCGTCTCTTTCTCCTTCCAACAATTTCCTTTCGACAGAGTTAAACTAGTCGTCCGATGTATGTAGATCCTAAACACTAAGAGAGAGAGAGAGAGAGAGAGAGAGAGAGAAAGACAGACAGAACAAAAAGTAAGCTTCGTGACAATTTCATTTAACTTTTTTTTGGTCAAAATTATCCGAAATGCTTACGTTGATTTATCATGAAATTACGAATATTCGAATGAATCCTTTCTTCATTTCTAATTATCTTTTTCTGACGTTTATTAATTGTTTTTCTTTCTTAACCCTCTGTGGGCCGAATTTTTGTTTTAAATCCAAAAAAATTAAATTAAGATTTATACGCCATTTCATGAAAAAAGCTATAATTATTTGATAAAGTCTCGATAAATTAAAATGTGACCTGAAAGTTACACGGGCCCATAGAGGATTAAAATGGCGAAATCTGAAAGAAAAACGAAAAAAAAAAAAAAAAAAAAAAAGAAAAGAAAAATAATAAAAGGACAACGTACGCTCACGAACGTAAATAATCCGTACAGATTGTATCGATAGTTATCGGAAAAATAAAAAAATTAATATATTACAATTAAATCTATAGGATATAAACGTGAACGAACATATTAGATATATTCAATGATATCGCTAGAGAATAAAAATTCAATGATATGAAAAAAATAATGAATGTTTAATTAACTCCTGGTAATGTCCTGATGATAAAGGAAAAAAAAGAAAAAGGAAATAATAAAAATGAAT